CAAAAAACACTCGTGCTAACGTTGGGCCAACGTCGGGCCAACATACTACTACCAACTTGATAAGACACTTTCTTTAAGGGTGTATTACAAACATCGGGCCAACGTTGGGCCAACAAACTACTACCAATTTAATAAGACACTTTCTTTAAGGGTGTATTACAAACATCGGGCCAACGTTGGGCTAACATACTACTACCAATTTGATAAGACACTTTTTAAGGATGTATTACAAACAGTGGGCCAACGTTGGGCCAACATACTATTATCAACCTGATAAGACGCATTCTTTAAGGGTGTATTACAAACATCGGGCCAACGTTGGGCTAACATACTACTACTAACTTTAAAAGACACTTTCTTTAAGGGTGTAATACAAACATTGGGCCAACGTTGGGCCAACATCAACACCCCTCCTTCCTTGGGAAGTAAAGTGAATGGAAGTTGCTAACGTTGGACCAACGTTGGGCCAACATAGGAATTCTGTCATGGTCGTGATGCTATAAAACAAAATATTATTTCCTAATTTTGGTGTCAACAGTAGGTAATGAGTGCATTTGCACTTTGAGTAACTTTGGGCTAGTTTGGTAGAATATTAAGCCCATTCTTGGTATTTCTTATTTTACACCAGACTAGATCCAGTATGGCTTGTATATTCCCCTTAAATAAATAATGTAAAGATATAAAAATCCATTCAATTTATTTAAGAAGCCATGTCATAAAGCCTTTGATCTGTTTTAATGAAGAGCTTACGATAAATCCAAATATATGTTAATAGCAAATGCAAAATCCAGAATTTCATTTGTTTTTAGTATACTAGATCTTTTTCTCTTTCAGCATGATAAACGAATGGGCTTAAAATATGCAAACCAACCCTCTCAAAAAAAAAAAAAAAAAAAATCCAGACAATATTATTTTAATCTTTTTCATCTCTCTCTTTTTTAAAATTGCGTATAAGGATATGTTTAAACATTACTCATATGATATATTGGCATATACTGAAGGATTTATTTTGGGAAATTGTCATTGTAAAAGTAATAAAATGAGTATTTATGAAACATGATGCTATAAAACAATTTATTGTTCTAATGCAATACATCCAATACAATGGACATTTACTTGTAATTTATTATTAATGGTGTCCCAACTTTTCTCAGCCGTGCTATTTACATTGTATAAAGAACACATCAGGAAAAAATTGATAAGAATAAATGTCATAAATCATTGTAACTAGCTTTGTAAAGTACAGTTTTATCCCCACAATCTGTTCGACAAAATAGAAAAAGAGACAACAAGGACAATTCAATTAAAAAAATATTAAATAGAAATGAATGTCTAAGTATTATCCAATTCCAAATACCAAGGATAATTTTACACAACATTATAATAATATACATTGAAAAAATCGACATTATAGAAAGCAGATATGAAAGCACACCAAAGTTATTCTGCCCGAGGGAGAGAAGTACTAATAAAAGTAACAGGAGGGAAAACTTCAAATACTAGTTAATTAATAGATCCTTGTAAACAAGGAAAGGGAAGTTTTTTTATTTGAATGAAAGCCGTAGAAAAAAAACATAATATACATTGTATATGGAATTAACAATATAACGACTTTAAATATTTATGGACTTAAGAGACAACATGACCTAAGAAGCACCAGGGCTGTTTATGCCGTCGAAACTGTAGCAACTAATATGGCATGGACTTACCTAAGAGTTTTCACCATTGCATATGGTGTCATTTCTGGAAACGGTATGATCATAGAAATAAGAAAAATAAATTGTGGTCGTTAAATGATTTAGCTAATCAAGTTCTTCACAGAAAAGTGGTAGCTTTGAACTAAATCATTGCACTACTGGAATCTTATTAGGAGGAATGAATGGTGTATGATGTGCGAGGTACTTTTATTCATATCACATCTTGTTTACGCCTGAGATACAAATATCATCCATAGGGCCGAAGGTCCGAGGGCTGAGATTTGCCAAGGGCTAATAGGGATATGATGTGGAAAAGGGTATATATCTTACAGTGTATACGTTTATTACATACTAAGTATTAAAGTACAACATACACATCAACATCAACACATCAAAAAAAAAATCAAATAAATAAAACCACACATTTCTCAGATGTAAGTCCTATATTGAACTGACATCAATGCAATCAATATAACTATAAAGTAAGTCCGATATTAGGTCAAAACTGATATTCATCGTTGGATCAATATAGCGATGCTGATTCAAAATCTGTTCAAAATACCATATGCTGTTTCAATAGACATTTGTATCATAGTATATTGGTATTTCCCAAAATGAATACATTAAATATGAATATCTTAAAAATCAGATACACAAACAATTACATTTGTGAAGGTATAAATTATTATGTACCAGAAAAGAAGTTTTGCTTTGGAAGTCTTCTTTCTCCATTTTGTGTATACAGCTTTCTGTTTCCTGTACCTAAGAAAACCAAGAGTTCCATTTTCAATATTTATCTTTCACCGCTTCATGTATGTTTAGGCTCTCTAAAAGCTTAATATGATTTAAATTTAAATATAATTTTATTTTTCTGAATTTGATTTTAATAGTTATCAACGTATAAATTTGCAGTCCACTTGTGATTAGAGTTTAACAAAGTGTTATAATAATGTATTTTGTGATGTCACATGACGCACTTTGCTGATCACGTGATGGACACTCATTAATTAGCTTTAAAAGTTTTACAAGCAAAAAAGAAAAATCGTCTAAGTCTAAAATACTGTATTGTGAATAAGTATGTATGCGTGTATTTGGGAGAGGGGATAAGTGTTAACTTCTTTTACATTCAAAGGAAGACTGCACTTATGCTGAATTCGGGTCTTTTTGTTCGCTTCTGTTCTTTTAAATCTTAACCTATTTTAACTATTTTCATATTAACTACAGTGGTCTGTCAATTAGACACATAGAAGTATTATGTTTGAAAAATAAGTAGAAGGAAGCAGCACCCCCCTCCCCCTCCCCCGCCCCCCCCCCCTCCCCGGTCACATTTTTTTTTAATATCTCTATGAGTTACAAGTACAGATACAACTCAGAGGTAATAAAGATTTGAATTGATATAGTATAAATAGATTAAGCTATCATTAACTGAATAACAGGAGCTGGCAAAAGTCATTTTAAGTTACACGATTGTATGTTTCCTTGGTTGTACGATAGCACACAGAATCGTTGCTGATAGTCAAAAAGTGATGTGTACACTTCAGATCGTTCATTTTGACTCAGATCGGTTATTTTGACACTTTTGTTTGATGAAGAACTTCGAATCGCAAAACATCTATGAATTAAAATGTTTTTATGTTGTTTATTGTCTTTTGAGTATTTTTCACTCAAATGGAGTCGCCACCACTTGCAAATTTTGTCCTATAATGCGCATTTAGGGACATTGAGCAATGAGGGATACTTTCCATGCCAGCTCCCACCGCGACACAGGCGACGATCCAAGAATCCAAAAAATCAAAGAATTGCAAATGTGAAATTTGCCGATTTGTACTTCATATTCTTTTTTCTTGAAGTTCAGATATACCCGGTATATACAGGGAAGTGAATTGCTTTATACAAGAATTTTCCAGTTTCTGCATTCAGTTCTAATTTTCGAATGCCGAAGGTTTCTGTTTGCAAATGGTTAGAAATGTTAATTTTGAAAAATAAATTTACATATTTTTCCAAATAAGTCCATATATATGCTTCTACAACAAGAGAGAAAACAAATTAAATCAGGTATATTACAACCATCCCACTTCATTGGAAAAACTAAATACTTTGTTACGGTCATCTTTCTAAAAAAAATTGAGGTCGTACTACAGCTTTATTTCCTTACGTTAAGGTTAGTTTTGATAATCAGTAGTAAGTATTCATTTGCGTACATTCAATTTTTTGCGATATTTACACAGATATGCTGACAAATGTTTTAAATCTTGAGTGAAAGATTTCAACCGATCTGCTCAGCCGACATGGTTTGATGACCGTAATATATATTACGGTCATCAGCTTTCCTACGGTGAACATCTGTTGTTACATACAATGCACAAAATTTGCATAAATATGACGGACCTTGACTTTAAGAAACTGGAACAAAACTGGAATAAAACCATTTCTTTTTTCTTCTTAATCTTTTCTTTGACGATGTTGCAGAACGCTGACGTTTTAGTCTCTTTTATTCATTTTCAAAAAATATTCGAATAGATTGTAGAAAAAATTTCATGTACAAGTATAATTTCATTTTGTTCAAAATCTTATTCGTGAAAAGAAGAAAAAAATTGCTGCGGCCTTCGACTCTACATTTTTATAAATAGACATTTTATTTTTACCTCAGTCTGTAAATTTTTGCAAATTTTGGCTCAAAAAAGTGATTTAATTCTGTACGCGTTAATATTTTGCAAATTGAGCATGTCCGTGTAATTGAAAATCATCAAAGGCAAAATTCCACATCACTGATCATAGGCATGCATTTTGAATGCGTTTACATACAAATAAATGTGTTTGATAACCCGATGTTTAAGAAAATAAAATAAGGCCTGAGTTTTCATACTGATTTTGCCAATAGAATTAAGTTTTTTACCTGATCAATACTCCAGTATTAAGGGCTCAGGATGGATGTGGCCGGATGGCGGAGAATGCTTGCTCCTACTAGACACCATATCCCACATATGGAATTTCCTTATAATCGTATTATATACCCATGTCACCGTTTTTTTTAGTTGTTTAAAGATTTTGTGGACGAATGTTCGTCATCTTTACAATTCAAATTTGATGAAATAAAGTAAAAAGTCTTCTGCATGAATAAAAAAAAAATCATACAATCCATGTGGTGTGAAAATTAAATCTGATGCATTGATCTACTTAAAGGAACTGAAACTACATGTCAATAAGCATCACTTTAACATTATTATTGGTATATAGGATTTAGTAATGGCAAGGACAACAGGGGAAGATAATTTTAAAAATTAGCTTAAAGATTAGGTATATGTCCATTGATAGGAGAGGAGTAGATAGCTCCAAGCTTCCAGTTCCCTGTCTGAATAAGTCTGTCGATGGACTTTTCACTATTTACTATGTATACAATGTTTTCACTGCAATCTGTGTAAAGAAGTTCTCCCTCTGTGGTGACTGTGTGGTAACCTCGGATATCCCACAAACTGGTTGATATTTTTTGAAAAATGTTTCCTTCCATATCAAACTGAGCGAGACTTCCCAAGTTATCACTGGCCCAAAATCTATTGGGAGGCAAGAGAGACAAATGGAAATTGTATTTCTTTATTGTTATATCACTTATTTTTGTGACAGATGAAAGTTTAAACCTTTCCGATGACTGTTTTTCAATTTTACCAAACTGTTTTGCTATTTCTTTTTTTATTTAGTGTACCTAGTTTTAGAATTGGCAGTTTGGGTTCAGCTTTTTTAGGTATCTTCAGGGTGGCTAATGATATGTCTAAATGGAATTTCATAAGTTCAGTATGTTTTACTGAGGACAATTTACTCTCATAGTCTGTAGTTATTTTTTCCAGGATTTTCATATAGTCCTCTGTTTTCTTCTGATGTTCATTAATATCATTTAGTACAGAGTTCTCGATCACATCAAGTTTTTTATTATTATCACTTAATAAACTGTCAACAACCTTCTTTAGTTCATCTGCTCTCTTCTTCATGAAGAATCTTAATTTGGTAATTTTTTTCACGGCATTTTTTCTCATTGATTCAACATCATTTTTAGCCCCAGGAATGACAGTATTCCAGATCTTGCTTATTTTTTTCTGACATTGCTGTAGAATGTCATTGTAGATGGTTTCAAGGTCAGTGACTGCATGGCCACTGTGATCTTGAGCAAAGCATGTAGAACAAAGAGGATCCTGGCAAAAAGTACAGTAGATATCTATGTCATTGGTGGGATGGATCCTGCATTTCTCTGAAGGAAGTTTTCTTTTTCTCTCTTGATAAAGGACAATCTCATGTTTTTTTTTCTTCAAATGCGCCTCTCTGCAATGGTCACATAATGGTTGATGACATTTATTACAATAAAACTCGGAGAAGTTCCTACAGGATTCTGTGTCACACTCAATAAAGTGCTGGGCTGTATCTGGTACTTCATCCATTATTGTTGGTCAAAACTCTAAAATACATTTATTTTCATCAGAGTGCAAGTACATGTAAGGCATTTATAACATGGTGAATAACTAGCTTACAACACACTCTATATGTATTCTACATCTAAAAGAGAAATAAATAACTTAATTTTTTAGGACCCACAGGGATTTGTGGGTGACCTTTAGTAATCATTCTGTCTGTCTGTCTGTCCATCAGTCATTCTTCCGTCCACAATTTTTCTGTTTTAGCTCACCTGAACCAAAGGCTCAAGTGTGCTTTTCTGAACAAAATTTGTCCAAAGTCTGTCTTTAAAGATCTTCTCAAGAACAGCAAAGCCATGATTAGTCATATTTATATAAAACAATCCTCAGGATTCAAACCATGACCCCAGAGGTAAGGTGGGGACATAGTGGGCGATCAAAGTTTTACATAGGAAATATTCTTTAAAAATCTTTTTAAGAACAGCAACAGATTGTTCATATTTATATTGAAGAATTTTCATCGAGTATCGAGTTTGTTCAAATTCTGACCCCCAAGGGTAGGGTAGGATCACAGTGGGCGATCGAACTTTTCCATAGAAATGCATAGGCAAAATTCTTTAAATTTTTTTTTTCAAGAACAACAAAGCTATGGTTCGTTATATTTATATGGAAGATTAGTGTAGATTCAAGTTCGTTCAAATCATGACCCTTGGGGGTAGGGTGGGGACATAATCAAAGTTAAAATAAAAAAAAAAATCAAAATTAGAGGTAGGTCGGGACCACTTATGCACTTAAGCTTTTCAATACTTAACTGAGTTTTGATTTTTTTTCTAGCCATAGTGCTTAAGTGAGTGATGTGGCCCATGGACCACTTCTTTTCTAATAACATTTTGATGGTTCACGAATGAAGTTTAAATTTGGCATGTAGGTTGAATAGGCAGTAAGACATATTTTGATACTACATGTACATGTTCTAATGAAGTTTGGTTCTTTATGTCATCTTGTTTGCAGATGGGACAGTTTTAAACTGTGAAAGCTACAATGAGCCCCTTGGAATTAATTATTTTTCCTCTTGAAGAAAATCGAAAGCATTATCCTTATCTGTTAACTAATTAACATCTCTGTATTTAAAATTTGTTTTGAAGTTAAGGTCAATTCTGAATGATTTTTACATTCTCTGAAATTTGGATTTAATTTAGGTTCATACTTCATTTTAGTTTCAATGTCGTACAAAATGAATAATAGTAAATGTACATGATTATATGATTTTATTGAATTCTAAATACATTATTTTTACCTGCCACTATACAATCAATTAATATCGATATCTTTGTGTGCAACAGATGATTGTTTTGAAGTACAGGCCAAGCCAAGGTGATATTCTCATTCACTGAAGGCTAGCATTTTATAATACACATGCTTCATATACTTTAATATTGTTTGAATATAAATTTAATTGACCTATTATAAGATATGATCGACGCTTTCGACGGCCTTGTGTTATTGGATATGTAAGACTTATCTTAAATATTCTTACATACTGTTGCTGCTTATTATTCTTCTCTTTATATTTTACAATTTTTATAATCAAGAAAATTCTCATTCTGTAAGCTGAGCCCTTGCTGAATAGTCAGCCATCTAATTACCTTTCTTTTTTTATCTTGCCTTTTACCAATAGTTTTAAATTACCTGTCATGATAAGTGTCAGCCATTTGTAATGTATGATGACGTGTATCCAGGAAGAACGCACTTTACTTTCTGTTTCAAACAAAAACATTTAAATTCCCATGCAGAGTTAGCATAGGGTCAGAAAAGAGAAAATGGAGCTTAAATACTATGCAGTTATTTAAATAACAGTTTTGAGGAGAGTGTGAGAAGGGTAACATTGTATTTATCAATTTTGGTTGGTTCTTCAGAAATGTTTATCATTTTAAAGTTAAAATTATCTGGTTTTATATAAAAGAAGTTGCACATTTGAATATACATGTATTTTGTGCTCATATATTGTTCGTAAACAAAAGAATTCATGCATTCTAGTAAGGGTTCACTGAAAACTCTAGCTGTACAATAATCTTTATGTCAATACCAAAATTGTCTCAAATTTGCAAGAAAAAAATCTCAAACGTTGATTAACTTAACTTGACAAAGGTTATAATTATACAAAATATCACAATTATATGGCAAGACCTTTGATGAAGTATGAAGTATTACTTAAGAAATCTCAATAAATGATTGTACAAAAGGAAATGAACCTAAACATATTATTGTGGGCTTAAATTGTCCTACCTGTATGACATAATCTTCAGCTTGAAATGCAGCTGGAGATAAAAAATAAGTTCTGTTGAATTTTGTTTATCATTAATACTACGGGGTCCAGAAAGTCTTCCTACAGTTATGACATAATCTTCAGCTTGAAATTCAGCTAGAGGTAAAAAAGGTTCTGTTGATTTATTTTATCTTTATAACAGGGTCCAAAAAGTCTTCTTTAGGTAGTCCGACTAAGTCAGACCGCCTACCACCTGATGTGTGGAGAATCTAAGTAACCAAGAAATCATCACATAACAAACATTTGATGTACATGTACCCCTGAGAAACTTAAAAATAAGGCTACGCAAATTACATGTATATATCCTGTCACAGCAAATCCGGTCTCAAGGTACTGTACCGTATAACTGGAATATCAAAATTAGGTCAGTCTAATCAAGTTTTTATATAACCTTATACTGTATTTCACAAGCTTGTTCATACATTTAAAGCAGATTTATTTCAGCCTTTCTTTTATCAAAATCAGTCATGATTTTGATCTCATTATTAAAAGAAAAAGAAGTTTCATATAATGCGATTGATTTTCCTCAAAATGTAAAGTGTTTAAATTAATTTCTATTAGTGTATTTCATATCTCTTAACATTGAAAAAAAAATGAGGGGAAAAGTCAAAGACACAAGAATCGAATTATTTTGATGATAAATATAAAAAAAAATACATAACCATTTATTGCTTTATTTGGAAACTGTTGAGAGGGCATATCGTTCAAGTGTTTGTATCCATACTTCACTCCACAGTGACAATAGTCTTGTCACAACTTCGATAAAATTGCTCATAGTCGACGTAAATTAACAAAATGATACAAATCAGTCCAAATCAAGTTTAAATTAAAATTATTTATACTTTTCAAAATATCGAACTGTATACAAAGTGCGATTATGGTAGTCGCCGCAAATAAAAAACCTCATATGACGGATATGCGCCGTCATACGCTTGAACGCTTCCCCTTCGTTTCATTAAAAATCAAAGTACTGAATGTACTGGGAAGCGGTTAGCATGCTTGCTTTGAAATTGGCATGGGGAAATAATAGGCAAATGTGCAGGTGTGGATAAATTTCACTGATGAAGATTAGTTGGTGTCAAATTTTAGTGCAATATGAATTTGATATTTTTTTTTATATTAATTCCAAAAATATGTTCGCATGACGACCCCTAAAAATGAACAAAGATTCTGCAGTGATTGAAAGACTGAAACTATTGCTGTTCCATCAGGAGTACAAATTCCATCTTCTCCTCTACTAAGTGAGTCAAAAACAAAGTAAAGACCAGATTGAGAATGTAGCAACTGCTGCAGAATGGAAAATGATGATGCATTCATTTTTACGCCTGGACATTGCAAAAACTGGATTCCAGTGGGATTCCTAGTCCATTTATGCCACCTTGAATTGACATGCATCCGAAACTTGGTTTCATTTTCCTGAATGTAAAACAATTACCCTAATAAATAATAAAATCAGGCAAATCGTCATGCAATAGTCCATTAACTTGATCTTCTGTGTGCATTTTTCTGTATAGTGTGTCACCCTTCATTAATTTGTTTTCATGTCATTTGTACTTAAATCAACAATACTCTTCAGCAAGGTTTTCATCATGAATGTTATGCATTTTGTAACATACTTCATCCCTCTTGAACTAAAAGAAAACTTATCACCACCTTGACAAAAATCTGCACATGCAAACTTATTCATTGCTGTAGGTAAATATGTCACAACTACAAGTAATTACTTACTGATCAAAGTTTTGTTTTGAACACTTGCATATTTATATATGTAAAGATATTAATACAAAGAACACATCACATAAATTTTCAGCAAATACATGTACATGTATGTAAATGGTAATATTAATAGAGCAGTTTGTGGCACATGTATATGAGTACAATTACAATGATTGTTCATCATGCTAGTTCTTACGAGTGCTATTTTCTGCAAATGTTCAATTATTCAGTTGATGAGCGTGTTTTTTTCATAACACTGAATGATTCCATACTCAAAGAGCCTCAAAATATGCTTTAAGAAATCTCAATACATGTATTATCAAAATTCATCATGTTCATGTAAATATTCAAATGAGATTATCAGATTTCATATATTTTCAGCCAACCATTTCTGAAGTTGATACCAACAAATGTTTTTCGAAATATGCTCGATAGTTCTCATAAATATTCTCATGAATCTTATAATTATTCTCAGAAGTTCTCGTAAATATTCTCAGTAGATTTTAGAAAAATAGTCTCAGTAATTCTCATAGATATTCTCAGTTTTTCCCATGAAATATTCTCAGTTTTTCTCATAAGTATTCTCAGTAGTTTTCGTAAATATTCTCAGTTGTTCTCCAATATTTTCAGCTGTTTTTATAAGTATTCTGGGTAGTTCTAATAAATTTTCCCAGCAGTACCCATTCAGATTTAGAAACAAATGTATTCCATCTGTCTGCTGTAAAATTGCAACTGATGACCCTGAATCAAAGTGTGATTTATAGATATTGGGCCAATGATCAAGGTTACCAAATTAAAACTAATGAAGATAAACACAATTTCATTACACGATATTTTAGTAAAGAAATTGTACACAATTTTGTTTTTTGTGCAGCAAGCTACATGGTATTTTTTTTCAATATGCCTTGTTCCTTGTCACTATTAAATTCTCTCAAAATTTCTCAAATAATAGGCCTAACTAAATTCGTCGAAAAAATGATAAAGAATTAGCAAAATGCTAGACAGTTTTTGTGGGAGTCAGGAATTAAATGGGAACTTTTCAGAGAGAAAGAACCAATAAAACACACCAGTCTTTGCAACACTTTATGCAAAAAAAACAAAAACAAAATATAACACTGCAAACACTGATGTGATAAGAATGTGTTAAATTATATATGTTCAGTCCTGCGATCTTACTTATTTCTACTTGCACTTGGATCATGTAACTAAAGGCTAAGGACCCAAATATCTATTATTTGTAGAACTATTTTTTCTCCTCTTCACTGCCAAATTTCCCCTGCAATACTGCATGTAACCCCAGCGTATACAGTGCAGGCTTTCGGGTATTTCCGTCAAAGATCGGAAAAGCTGCTTTTTTTGCTCATAGGTAGCGCCTTTATGGAGATTTCCGGTTGCTCTTGAAATTGCGTAATCTCGCCATAAAGCGGCTAGCGAACACGCTATTTAAAGCATATTTAATCAAGTCTCTTGTTTACATATTCCTTCTTCTGTGAGTCTGATTTACCATCATAACTGTCTCTACTGGCGATTTCCCGGTTTTGAAGGAAAAACGCATTACCACTCGTTTCGGCGTTTTATTCTTCATTCGACATGTCTTTTGTACAAAACATCAGATATAAACAACGTTTATGTTTAAAAAAAAAAATGACGCAATTTAATTTTTAACTAAAAGCTGGAAAATGTAAAATATTGTCTTTTAAAATACTGGGCGATAAGACGCTTTTTAGATGTTTTTTTAAATGCATTTGTCTTTTTTAATTCTAACAATATACACTTTAGAACGTGACGCTTAATTGTGACGCGGCCACACCGCCTATGCTGGATGTTTTAAACGTCTATAAAATGAATTCAATTTAATATTATTAAACGAAATTTTCAATTTTGGTTTGATTTATTTTTATGCATCTTTTGGTGCATTATATTTGATGATGTGACGCCAAGTATTATAGATATGGACACAGTGACATTACTTTTGGGTCAACCCTCGTATATCCAAAACAAAGATCCCCATCAAGAAAAGAGTGAACAAATAACCCAAACCAAAAAAAAAAATGTCATGTATGGAGTTCTTGGGACTGATCTTTTTATATTCAGGGAAGGTTTGAATGGAATCCTTGCAGTATCTGATGATGAGGCTGATATGAGTACAACAGGGAGACAGTAGGTGTGTGTAGGTCTACTGGGCATGCTCCTCCACAAACCAAGGTTTCCTTTTGATCACGTAGTCAAAACACGGATAAAACTTCAGCTAAAACAACGTTTACAGGATGTAAAATAAGGAAAAATGTACATATCAAAATAAATAAACATTTATGTACAGAAATGTTTAAAAAAAATTCTGGAATTTGCGTTCAGATATAGATTATTAATTTTATCTTACAAAATTAGAAGTTTTAAAGTATGTTAAAAAATTGTTTGATTTAATTTTTTTAATAGTTGGA